CCCCAAAACCCCAAAACCCCAAAACCCCAAAACCCCAATACCATAAAGACTATTGATTTATTTTAATGTTTAAAAAGCTAATTTCGCTTCTTACCAAATTTGTAGTTTTTGGTGATTTCATAAAAGTCCAGTCTTAAGATAGCTGAGGGTTGATAACCAACTTTCCGTCTGAAGCAACTCCTTCTGCAGCGTTGATTGCCTCTTTAAATTTGGTGATTGGGTATGTTTCTAAGACCTTTGAACCAAAGATTTCTCCTCCCTTTGAAAGATCGTCAATCACTTGTTGGTATACTGCTTCTCTTTCAGCTGTAGTCAAACTGTCCAGCCATGGTCCTAACCAGAGTCCCTGAACTTTTTTATTGAAGAAAATGAATGATGTACCTCCAATAGAAATCGGGGCTCCTCCGAGACCCCCATAGATATAGGCAGTTGATCCATTTGGGAGCCTATCTAGAACTTTGGCAGTAAAGTCAGCACCAATTGGATCAAAGAAAGCAGTGACGTTCAAAGTCTCAGCTAGTTTCTCAAGATCTTCTTCAAAAGTCTCAGAGGTAGAGTTCAAAACATGCTCAGCACCAATGTTCTCCAATGCTTCAACTTGCTCTGTTCTTCTGACAATGTTTATCAAAGGGATTCCTTCATTTTTGGCTACCTTCACCAACATTTTTCCAAGATTGGAAGCTGCAGCAGCATGAACCAATGCTTTATGACCATTCTTCTTAGTAAAATCAATGATTGCCAAGGCAGTCATTGGGTTCACAAAAGTCCCAAAGCAGTCAATTGGCTTGACACCTTCATCAAATACCAAAATATCTGTAGACTTCTTATACAAGAACTGTCTCCAAGATCCTTGATATCCCTTAATATGAGGATCTTCAAAGAATGAGACTGTTTTACCAACAAGGCTAGAGTCTACAGACTCATGGGCCTATAAAACTTAAATTCACCACTCAAAAGCATGCCTTACCTCAATAACAACTCCTGAGCCATCAAATCCAAGCCCTTGAGGTCCCTCAGACATCAATTTCTTGACTCCATATGCCCCTGCAGCCATGTACCTATCACTTGGGTTAACTGGAGATGCTTCAACTCTAATCAATACTTCTCCTTCCTGTAAAGGTCTCTTCTCCTGCTCGACAAGAGCTGCCTTTCCTCCATCAGTGACGACAGCTATAAAGCATTGAGACTTGTTTAAGAATTAGAGAAACGAAGCAGAACAGTTTTGGGTGGACAATATGACTGACTGGTTTTAGAGCGTGGTTAATAGAGATTGACAGATGTTAAGTGGGGGAAAAGGAATTTAGAGAGGGTTTTGGGTAAGTTAGTGGGGTTTAAAGGGAACTTACCTGTGAATTTTGTGCTTCCTTCCATTTGGGTTTGGTTATTAAATATGGAATAACTTAAAATTACTTGATACTTATCCAATTTTTACCATATTTATAGGGGTTTTGGGGTTTTGGGGTTTTGGGGTTTTGGGG